GACCGTGGAGCTGTGTCTAACGCATGTAGCTCCATGCCGTGACGTCGTCCACAGATATGCGCACATGTAGATCTTTCCGTTCAAATTGTGAACCCAGAATTTACTCACTGTAAACATTTCTGAGAAAGGGTTGCATGCTTGCTTACTGCTGCAGTATGTACCGGTACTTACACGCACACAACAATGAATCATCAAAGAAAAAATTAAGATCACAAAAATCTTCAAAATGAAGGATCTTTTGTGCACAAACCAATGTACCATTGAGGTTTTCTTCCTGGGATGACATTTCCTCTTTGCTCATGAATATGGAAATCTCATGAGCACAAATATTGAAAAGCCAGCAAAACACCCTTGAATTAATGAAATAAGCATTCAATAAAGAGGTTTACAATGTAAGAAAAACAAAAGTGCAGATTGGAATTTTGTATTAAAATATAGTAACATCCGTTGTGCCACCATATTTTGGAGCATTACTAGTTTTGTGCCGATGCCAATTTGCAAATTCACAACCACAGGTGTGATGTTGTCCTAGGACGAAATCTCAATATTACATGTACATGTACATGGTATGGTTATTTCTGCATCAAGATTTGCCACAAATTGTGGACATTCGGCAATCTGCATTGTGAATTCCTTTCACTGATCTGGTGTTTCAACCCTGGAGCTGGTTCTACATTTCAGAACCAGGTATCCATCTGCAATGTATACGATTCATTTTTTGCGGGGGAATATTCAAAGAAGCATCACACAACACGGCATGCTACATGTACATGCAAGAACAAAATCAGGCTTACATGTCTGTCAAACAATTGTTATTGAGCATTTGGGTACCAGTATGTTTTTCTTTCTTCTTCGAAATTTGGTGTTAGGTTTCTTTCCCCGGGTACCCTGGTACCTGTGCTTTGCTTCAATAGGATGCTCGGTTCCCGCATTACTACTACCAGCACACAAAGTTAACAGTGCACTCCAAACAAAACTACAAAGCTGAAAACAGTGACAATAAGGAACTATGGAGGTGACATTTACACACTCAAACAAAACAAATTCTTCCTTTGGACAGAGCCAACTTTTAACATTTTGATCAATGTATTTTTAACAAGTTTTGTTTAGTTTTGCTCCAAACATTTATGATTCATACCATCTGCCCAAACAGTTTCGTTTACACGTACAGAGCCGTTACTGCTCAGTGTCGCTTCATACAGTATGTTACAACTTACATGTACATGTCTATTAAATTACTTACAATGTGCTTGTGCACTGCTATTTCCTGTGCCAAATATTAACACATCTTGTATCTGATTACAATTCAGGGCATTTAGTTTACATATTTTCAGTGTCCGTGCTGTTCACCCTAAACATACTGTATGTGCACATGTACTGTTTGATGTTTGCTACAATAGACACCATTTGGTGAAGATTTTTGCTCATTCTGCCTCCCATGTGTGACCGACGTGTAGGCTTGTATCATTGTGGGAGGGGACTGCCCAAAACCAAATTTCTATCAAATGTTACTATGTGATCTTGGTATGAAAATGAATTTGTTTAAACCACACTTTGCGCACTGTCTTCATTATTTTGAGAGGACCAGAAAGACTAGCCCTCTGATGACACCTCAGATACTCGGTAAATTTGAAGAATTTTCTGCCCAAATTATAAACCATTTATGCACATGTATCCGGTAGCTCACTGTGCAAGAGGCGGTTAATTCTCATGCCACTGTTTACTGAAAAGGCAGATGTCATAATTGAAAACAAAAACAAAAAATTGAAGTTAATCGCAGAAGTAAACAAGAAATCCTTTTAATGATGGGTTTTGGGACTTCTGCCCTTACACTGATGTATTGTCCAAGAGCTTGTGAAAGAAAGGAAATTCACAAGCTTAATCAGGTGGGACTCAAGCCCACGACCTCCTGCTTACTAGTACAGGTGTCTTATCCACTCAACGACCGAGCCTGCCTTGTCAGGGTCCATGCAGCAGTGGGTACCATTGGCATAAGGGCAAAATCCATAGTTAAAATTTGAATTCTTGGGGGTCTTAAGGTAGCTGTAACGTTGAAACTTCTGCACAAAGATGAATCACTGTTTTTGCGGACGAATACAACATTTAGTCAGCATTAAAAACTGCAAAGGACCTAAATGCCCATTAAATAATAAAACTAGCGCTGATAATAAGAGTAAACTGGACACAGTGGTACAGCTCCCAGGGATCCCACTACTTGAGGATCACGCTTGGTATCTCTTTAACATTCGCACAACAGATTACAATGCCACAGTTCCCACTTTTTTTCTTAAGCACGGCTTTTCACTCGATTGAATCGCAGCCCGATGCCATACCATTTGCCAGGGTGAGTGCCATGTTGACTTTGGCTCCCGGCTGCTCGTGAGGGTTACACGAGCCCTTCTCGTCCTCCACTTTAAACAAACGCAAGCTGACTGCCAGCCACAGCCAGCCCTGACTCCCTTCAAGAGCTGTGTTTACCTGCACAACTCCCGTGCATTTGTACAACATGTTGGTTTTGATTTTGTTACTCTGTTGGTTGAACTTACGTTCGCATTGTATAGTAAACCTTTCTCACACAGACCATGGGGATCAAAGAACAAAATGTTAATCAACCTAATTATTTTTACAAGAGTTTGTTAAACGTTTTCTTTTTTATATGTGATTTAAAGTTAATTTGGACTGCACCTACAATACAAACCAAATGTAAATCTTTTCATTATAATGAAATAGGCAATCTGTCTAGGCTTAAGATGAACAGACATTACTCGGAAGAGTGGAATGCTATTTGTCAAATCATAGGGCGTTGTGACAATATTAACAACTGTCAGTAAAACCACAGAATATGGTGAAAGGCCCCAAGTCTCTCACACTGTAGAGTGTGCATGGCCTACAGTACTTTCAGCAAGTGGTGCAAAAATAATTTGCCTGTGAATGTTTGTAAATAACTGTGCAGTTTTCACGGCCAAGGGCACAGCTATGAACGATTTCATGTAATGATACGGTTTCTTTTCTCCTGCCATCCTCAAACTTCCATGTTTTTAAATTACAGGTTTAACATGGGAACTTGAACTGTGTACACATATGTTTCAAATAAAATGAATGCTTGTTGAAATAAGGGAATAATTATAATGCACAAGCCTGCATGGTCTTAAACAAGGCCAGCTGGGCTTGGGATTAAGTGCTAGTTTTTGTCGACAAGTGAACTAAAGTTATAAAAGGTGAAAAGTAAAGAGAGTATACTACATTCTTTAACTCCTGAAAAATTAGTAATGTACCTTGTATTTTAATACAGTGAGGGTGACAGTTCTGAATCGCTCTTCATGTCCGAGTGACAGGTCAGATCAACTGCGTAAATGCATACGGAACCTGCGTGTACCAAAGCATGTGCCGATGTAATGCTGTTTGAAACGTTAACTTGTGATGGCGTATCTACAGATGCATTAGGCCAATGGAATGAAGATTCACATTTCATGTCTGAGCAAAACTTACAACATGGGGCATTGTATTGGGATGGTGTCTGCCTGAAGCATACATCGTATGCCTGGGGTTCAGGCCACGCTGGCTGTAGCTTGCTGACTGCATGCAGGGCATGTGGGAGACTTCCTCTTCCAAGATGCGTGGTTGTATACAAGGTAAGGGGGAATCACATGTATGTTTATCTGCATTTTTATGTTTTACACACTGCTGTGGGTGGAAAAAAGTAAAACCAAAAAAGCCTTTTTTTAAATCTCTTGATACCCTGTGCACAAAACCTGTGAGACTGGTCTCAAAAATTCCGAGTTTCTTCTACACCTAAATATTTTACCTGCAACATTTGACTTTTTAGGTTATGTTATTGCTTTCAGATGGCTAATCTATACTAAACTTGTACCACTGTAGGGAAAAATTTGTGATGTCCATAAATGGAACTCTTCCCCTTTTTTTTTAAATAACCTTATCGAAATGAAAAATTGAAGCAGGTGCTTCAGGGCAGGCAGGCGGTGGATGCAAAATATGATTTCATTCCCTTAGCCATAGGGATGAAATGCAACATTGGCATAAGCTGCAAGAACTTGGAGAAGGTTGACAAATTTTCGGTACAAATTTGCCATAGTATTAGCCAGCTTACGTACGGCACCACAGTTGGGACCATCTGGGATTGAAGCCATAGCAGAGGCATATAAATGACATTTGTTTGCACAAAATTCTACCCATCCTCCACTGTGCTCCCATGTGACAGCAGGGCAGACAATGAGCCACACAGTTCTGGGGCTCGCAGTGTTACTCAAAAGTAACAATACAGTGCATTTCAGGAGTAACCTTTACGGTTACCACCCTCACTTTGCCCACAACTTGTATGGCCGGCCAAAGTTTGCAGAAATATCGCCCGTTGGCTGGTTTTCGATTTTACCTCCAATTCATCCATAATGGGCATTTGTCAAATTGATTTCAAATGGGGTTGTAACTTATATTTTCATTTTCAGTGGTACAGTGCACATGTATTAGGCCCTACATGTATACTTTTTAAAAGCTGTGGGATTTTTAACACTTTGTGAATTTTTCTTCTGCTTTTGTACGTAGTACCAACCATAGTTTTAGCAGCCACAAGTGGGACAAACATGACTGTGACAACAAAACTTACAAAAAGCTAACCTATTTTGTAAATGCACCATTAATTTCAAAACAACTTTCACAACAGACTACAGCCAATGGCAATGAATCCGTCACTGAATCCCTGAAATGTAATGGCTCAAATGAGAAAAATACACGCAACAATTTAAGCACAGTCAACCACATTTACGTTACGCAGCTGAAGAGTTTAATTGAAAGTCTCACTCTGAGTTTTTCGCAACATGTATGTACATGTTCAATACACCAACTGCCCAATACACCACAGCAATGACACCACAGCATAACCGATATTAAATAACCGGCCAACTGCTATTGAAACCATGTTGAAACTAAGCGAACTTTCATTTTCACGAGGCCTTGCTTGTACTCAGAACTCGGCTGAGGCTTACCTTGAGACTGAGAGTACGCATCACTGTATCTGATATTTGAGAGGGTTCCTCAAATACAAGTAACAACCTTGCCTGTTCTTCCCCTCAGTACATGCAACTTGCAAGCGAAAGTTGGCTTTCCTTTGGCACGAAAATGTCAATGGCGAAAGCTTCCCTTCTCCATCGCTACGCGTTCAACGATATCCGGTAGCACAGATGGTACTTTGCCCTTTAGTTCCGATTATGGAATAAGTTGGCGGGAAACCAGCGAGAACCGCAGTGAAATTATAAATGCAAATAAGAACACCTGTTATTCTTCTGAACGAAAGAGGGCGTAATCCTTTCTAGAGTACCGGCACCAAAGTGAAATTTTTAAAAAGTTGCCTGCTATCCTACTTACGTAATATCATACTATTCACTCTTACATTACCTAATCCCTTATTTCAATTGTCCCTTTTAGTGTATCTAGAGAAATAGCTGTAGTTCCGAATGCTTTTGCCTCTTTTTAACTTATTACATCTTTTGAGATGCTATCCCTTCAATATATTGATAAAAGCCACTATGATATTGTTAAAATATTCAACATTTGATTCCTTGAATTTAAATGATTGGAAAAAATGACCTGGATTGTTTTATGTTAATTTGTTCACACGTCTTCCAATTATTGTAGATCCTACTTGTTTCTGCTGTATGTATTTTATTTTATGATTTTTTAAAACAAAATTATCCCCTTGTAAACGAATATTTTTGTTTTGTTCTAATTTCAAGACACTTTCCATAGCGAAAATTGTTATATTCGAACTCAAATTTGTTTAATTTTTTTTTACAATCAGCCTCGTCTTTATTTGCGGTGGAACTGGTGAATATTTCAGCGTAAAGTTCATGATTTTATTTCCACCACTATGTGCATGGGTTTCTGTTCCCTGTACGTGTATGTATCACCCAATGCAGTTGCATAGCTTGATCCGCTGAAACGCTAAACTTTTAAACAGATTTACCGTTTTCCTGGGCATGGACTCGCCCATATTTCACTGGGTCGTTGTTGGTGTATCTAAATGGATTGTATCGATTTATTTGATTAAGGTTTGAGCATAATGACGAAAGCTAAATTGCAGTGTGATTGCACGTTATACACACATCACCACACTCCAGGATTATCCCAAGTTATCAATTAAGACCTTCTATTGCTGTGATCCACATTATGCAGCATTACCTCCATCAGAATAGACGAGTCTAGCAACTCAATCAATTAGTCGTCATAGCGACAACAGAGGGCGTCTGTGGGCGACCCACTTCCATTACCCCGTGTTTGTGGTGCAGAACGAAGAGTTGGCTTATCCGAAGTGTATACAGGTGTAATAAGAATACTGACCATTGTGTCGCCCTTTTGTCCTTGTTTCCACCAACAAATGGATTGATCACAGTCTGGCAGACTGTGGAGCGATAAGCTGTTTTTCCGCATTTGTGTCCATTGTGCTTTGGAACCTTAAAAATTTTGATGCTATTTGGACGACGGCTGGCGATTTCCAACTCGACTGCCGAAAAGTGAAGTACATGTAGCCCAACTTTTTGTGCAAGAGGTAAAGTACAGACAGTATTTAGGACCCAGTTAATGTGCACTCACCGAAAACGTGGTCTTAAAAATTGTAAATAGAGTATGCAGCATAGAAAACTCTAGTGGTTTATACTGGACGTGTAGAAATTTGCACAAGTTTGAAACTGAAGTGAAACTGCTCCTGTACATTCCATAATTGTGTTATCTTTCTTGCACTTGTGTCGGAGATGATTAAATAACTTGATTAAATCATCTTTTCCTTAATTTACCAACTTATTGTCCTTCTAGCAAGTACACATTTTCTAAAAAGTCTTCAAATTCATCCGGCCACTTTTGTACAGTCTTGTAGATAATTACCTGAAGGAAGTTTTATGATACATTTGTTTTTCTCCTTATGCAGGTGACCTCATCTTAGGCTCCTCGATGGTTTATGAAAGGATGAACTGAAGTGAAAAAAAGTAGGGAGGAAGTTGATGTTTGACTGCTGCAAACTGAATTCTTAACTTTGAGATGGAAACCGATAAAGATGATGAGGAAAGGAACAGCTTAGATGTGGACAAAGTAGAATTCCAAGAAGGGCAGAAGGGAAATCAGTCGGAGAACAAAGCAAATGATGAGGCTAAAGCCAAAAGGGGGGACTTACGGTCGGAGGTATCAGAGAAAGGCCAAACCATGGATCACCAAAATGGAGGGGATGTCACAGGTAGTGATGATCCACAGATGACGGAACAAGTAGATGAGAGAGAGAAAATAACAAACAAGGGAGAGGATGATGAGGTTTCAGGTGAAGAATTATCTGGAGGAGCAGACCAGGAGCAGAAGATGCAAACCTCCCAGCAGGATTGCAGTGAAACAAGTCGGTGCGATAAGTCGGTTAGAAATCGGAGTAGGTCAAAAATTAAAAGACCCAATGATAGAAATGACAAATTGACCACCGGAGCTGACAAGGGATCATCAAAGCAAACCCAAGCAATCATCGTGGACGTCAGCATCCCCCGGGTCACGCACACACCCCAGACGCGGGAGGGTCGCGCTGGTGGATCCGCATGGTCGGAGGGAACTGGTAATAACGGAAGCCGACAGGGAGGCGGGGTCTGTAAGAGCGTGGACTTCTCGGTGCCGGTGGGGATGGACGAGGTGGACGCTGAGCTGGCCCGGGTGGTCGGGGTCATGGCAGAAGAGCAGAGTTTGTTTGATCCCCATGAGTACGGGCGAGGGGCAACCACCAACACACCAGTCACTGTAATGACTGATTATGCAGAGAGGTTAGAAAACGATGTATACCAGGCCAAGTTAAAATATAAAAACCATTCTTCATTCCACCCACTTCCTTCTTCTCTGCTGCTTCTTTTTAGTTTTCATTTTTTTGGAATATTTGCAACATATTTTGACTTTTCATTTGTATCTAATCGAATATTCTACTATAAATTTCAAGTTTAAAAAATGTTGAATACATTAACGACTTTTTTAGACACAGAAATATCAGCAACTAATCATGAATTTCAATCTGACATCTCAAGAAAGTTTGGTTATCTTTAGACGAAAAAAGTTTTCCTCTGGCACAAAACTAGACTTAAAAGTTTATAAATGTGTGGTATCGAATTAAAAAAAAAAGCCCTTCAGGAAGAAAAGCCGTTTTGCAATTTATGTAAATTTTTTTGCTAATCTTATAAAGTATCATTTGTTTAAGCCAATTTCACGTTATGCTTATTTCACTTTAGGTTTGTAGTTTCAAATTACCTCAGTATGGTAAAATGTTGACAGAAAATAATGACACCTTTTTACTTGCTCATAAATAAAATGAGGAATTTTTAATTCGAATATGTCTTATTAGAAAAGTACATGTAATTACAAAGTGATGAACATTCCAAATTTGCTGCTGTTTTATCTTTGTGATTGTAAACTTAGTTTTTTTCACATTGTTAGTCAAATTCAAGGACAAGGGATCACCACTCCCTCTAGGGAGAACATCTACCAGCATGCCCTCTCCATCATGAAGAAACGCTGCCAGAGCAGTCGCACCGTGATGTCAAATGCTCACTCCTCCTATTACCGGCCCAGGACGCCCGAGAAAGTCATCGAGGAAAATGGGGCAACCTTTCCCAACTTCAGTCTGCCGACAGTGGTGGCCAACATGGACAAGCCGCCAATGGTGCAGACCTCAAACTGTGTTTTCTATGTGACACAGAGCAGACAGCATCCAATTGCCCCGGTCAAGGTAACGTCATCGTGCACCCCTTTTCCTAGATGTACGCTTAAGGGATCCGATGAAGGTATCCGATCTATTATTTGAAGGTGTATTCCTTGAAAGTGCATTCTTTGAAGGTGCATTCCGTGAAGTTGTATGCTTTGAAGGTGTGCATTTTGCAGGTGTGGGCTTTAAAGGTGGAGAAAGTTGGTTTTTTTCCCTGTAATCAATATTTTCCATCCCATGTAGCATTTTGTGCCAAGTTGAAGTTTCCATTTTATGAGGTATGACAAATCCAGAGTTTTTAAAAAATGGATTCATTTTTTTCCAGACTTGGAAGGGTTATGAAGGGAATCTGTACTTCCAGCCAATGGTATGTAAGAAGGCCGATCTCACTCCATCAACTACACCTAGAGAAAATGCTCTCAACAAAGCCACACGCAGAGCCTATTCCACTCCCATACTACAAGGCAAAACAGGGGACAACCAAATGACACATCTCCCACAGTTACCCAAGGCAGAAGGCTCTGCTGGTGATGATGCAACTCGATCAGCGCCCTCTGTTGTTGGCTCACGTTCGGTCTACAGCCAGAGTGCGACAGCCCCGAAGCTGTCTTCTCGCAACAACGGTACGGCCAAGTCGCAGACCAGCACCGCTCGCCAGATGGCCCTCCTGGACAAGCAGGCTGTCCTGGGCCGGATGGACTCCAACATCCGCGAGGACATCCGCTGGATCAGCGGCAGCGAGGCCATGGGCACGCTGCACCTGGGCGAGCTGCGGCTGATGCCGCGCTCCACGGCCCACTTCTACGACAATGCGGGCAAGCACCATCGGCTCCGCATCCAGCGGGGGCTGGTCAGTCACCGCCTGGCTGCCCACAACCAGTCACTGCCCACCCTGCTGGGGGTCCATGGTGGCCGGCTCAATGATGGCGCGGATGGTGTGGCCAAGACGGAGCACCTACAGTCTCAGTACCATGCCAGCAACGTGTCTCAGTCATCAGATGACTACGACAGACACCTCTGCTCGCCCAACCTCTACGGCGGTTACTCTGGACCCTTCAGTTCCATCGAACAACTGCGGAGGGACAGCGCATCCAGCCATAGAAGAGCCGACAGCAGCTTGAGCCCTGACATGATACTCAAAGACGACTCCCTTCATTCATTGGCGTCAGTCTACAAGAACCCCAGGAATGTACCGTTGTACAGCAGTAAAGAGGTCCTGTTCAGAAATCGGGAGGCCCTTTTCTTGACAAGACCAACATACAGGTGACATTGACACAATGCAGAAGTGAAGCATTGTCACCATCATAAAATACTGCTCTCACAGCAAGCCTTTAACATCGTAGTGTCCCTTTAAAAAAAACCAACCAATTTCATTTGAAATCAGTGATTGCAGTGCATATTTCTAGTCTACAGGGTATGCTTGTGAATATGTTTATTACAAATTTTATTACAAGTGCCTGCTGTGCAGAAAAGTCATGGTGTTTCATTTAAAGACTGACGCTATTTTTTGACATGAATTAGGCTTTCACTTTTTCATACTTGGCAGAAGTTGTTTCGAAGACCATAACGTGGATACAGTGCTCATATTGTGCATTTCACATCCGTCTAAATGGCTGCTGCGGTGTTCAAATCAAACAACACTAACTTACAATACACTGCAGATTATTTGTACTGAGGTAACTCCAAGCAGCTGTTGCCAAGAGAAGCCATTCTTAGTTTCCTCAGCTGAGGCTGACGTTGGGGCTGAAACATGTATATGACAAGAAGTTACCTCCACAGTGGTTTGCCACACACCCCCAGATGCCTAGCTCATGAATCTTGCATTACACACCACTGCAAGGAGTCCACAGTTCTAAGTTCTATCAGCAGTGGGGTGAAGCAGAACTAATTCTTCCACATACAAATACTAAGGTTTGACTGACTCTGAGTTGACATGACTTCACTGACTTTCTATACGTGCACGCTGTCCGTGCAGGCACGTGCATGTTCCAGAGTTGCGGAAACCGCACGTGAATTGTATCAAGTTCACACAGCTCAGACCAAATTGTTATTGAATGCCAACTTGCCAAATGGTATTCAGTAGAGACCACTGCAATGCTGATTACAGGCATAGTGATTGTAGCAACTCATAATTCATGATGTGCCAAAATGTATTTATTGTGAAATTGCAAGAACATTTCACCAGAATAAATGTGTATGTACAACTTATCAAGTATCCTGCTGCCGTGTTTCAATTGTGAAAAAAGACTACATGTATTTCTTTTCTTCGTTTTTCCCCCAATTAATTTTGTTCCAAGTCAGAAATAAGGTCAGAGGTAAAAAAAAAAAATCACAACACAAAACATTTCAACTCAAATCTCATATTTATTTGTAGGAAAGCAAAAACACATCTGTACAGATATTTTATTCAACTCGGAAATGCAGTGACAAGGTATCTTACAGAAAAAGGCACTAAGATCTAGAACGTTACAGAATCCATACGTGTAGCACAAACAGAAAATAAAGGCCAGAAAAAGAAATCTCGGTGACAAAGTCTACACGAATTGATACTGGATACAATCAGTTATCTATTCAAAGTGCAGTCATCGGACATGCCCCTGTAAGCCAACCGAGAGCAAACTATGGAATGGTGGCAGCAATTGCATACTTTCTGGGGTCCGCTAAACAGCGGTCGCCTGGCAACCGGTCTCGTCGACGCTCGACCGATTGGAGTCACTTTAGCCCACTTCACGAGGATGGTCTAGTTCAACACAACAGATACAGCTGACAGGCTTAATTGCTGAGCAAACACTAGCCAGCCATTCGGGTCAAACCATGCCATTGTATTGAGATTAATTCTTCCTGGAAATTTTTGCGCTCATAATATATTTCGTGCCACAAGACAAGGGGGGGGAGTTTTACAGTGAAATTTGGCAGAATTTATTGCAGTGATGCCTTGGAGACCAGTGTTCATGATAGATCAGTCAGGTGTGGGGTGTTGACTGCACTATTTCCTGTGAGGTTGTGGCACATGCTTGGATATATTGCATAGAAAAGAATCCATACCAAGCAATCATGTGAATAAATACCGCTGGATTGTACCTTGACACCTAAATTTTTTTGGTTTTCAATTCATATGAATGGAAAACAGTCGTACATAGAACATCAGGAAACGGTTGCCTGTACAACTATCAAACAGAAGTTAACATTTCATAAAAATTCCACAAAACGGCTAAAATTCACAGCCATTACTACAAACAAACCTGATTCCCTCCCTTCTGCATCACATACCAATGAGTTCTGTGGAGAGCAAACATGGAACGATTTCTGTTTACAAACAAATGAGAAACTTGACACAGATCTATACATTTCAATGGCTTCTGTACATCGCAAATTGAGATAAACCACACGTCACTGTTTGGGTATAAAAGCCCGGCAGGGTGGCAAGCTGGGGGGTATCATATCTCTGTTTGGTCTTTAACACAATACTAGTGGCATTGTAGCAAATTTCTGTATGTCCTCTTATCCATTACTTCGCAGACTCGAAGCAACTTCAGTACCCAATGGATGAACTGAACGACGGGTTTCCTTGTGAAGTGAGCCCCCGTGTGACAAACAGCAAGAGTCTGGCTTGCTGCCTAAGCCCACACGGTAGCAAATCAGGCCACAGAGTGCGCTGCTACAGTAAAGGAGTACTTGATTCTGCACGAGTAAACTGTTACCGAGACCATCCATGTATTTGAATATTAAAAGGCACCTAAAAGTAAATAACTGACACATTTTCTTGTGCACTCATTACAAATGAGAACCAGAAATATACGTTTACAACATATCATCGGTTCTATACCATTCACAGATGTTTATGCAATTCCAATATTTTTTTCCCTGTAAAATTCCACTCCAGGCTCTCTCTGCACACACTTTCCTTTCCAGATGATATTCACATTTTGATTCTACAAAACTGCTAGAGCAATGTTGTTAAGTCGACAAAAATCTCTCCTTTTCATGGACTTCACAAATGTACTGAACAATTCCCATTTTAATCCCTTAAGGATAACACATACATTTTTGTATACTTAGGTGACCAGTCTACACTTTCCGTTGGGACCTGATGAATTCTGGAGGACTTGGGAGTGTCAGGTTTAAGAAGAAAAATCCTTAAATTATATAAGTGCTGTAAGGTGAAATTTTCACCCCATGAGGGATGGACTCACTTGTCACAATGCACTTGACTTGGTACAACAACAATGATAACAGGTGCACTGAGAACCCAATTTTATGAGAGTCCAAACTTCGCTCAACACCAGTTTCCACGTGAAACAGGTGTGGACTTACAACACCACAGCAAAATCTTCTGCTACAGTTTGAAATTGTTCAACTCCAGCAAATTTTGGCTGCAAGTTTTTTTTTTTTTTTGAAAAGTCAACACTTCTTCACATAAACTGTGAGTACCAATCCTCTCTAACTTTTTCCCAAAAGTAACTTTTCAAAGAACTTAACTCCAGACCTAGAAACTTTCTTGTTCTCATAAACTAGAGGAACATTGCACACTGGAAAAAAATGTAATCCATACATTCATCTAAGAAACAAAAATTAATCTTCTGTAAACTGAAAATTAAGAGGAGAAACAAAACCTTTGGTTAAATCCCCAACACAACAATGTTTAATTTTATTCTGGAAGTTCTATAAAGCTCAACATAACTATAAAACACTCGTGGAAATCAAACGCATCAATCAACTATCAATTACACAAAATATGAGAGGTTTGGATTATACAGCAGACAATGACTAGCAGGAATAATTTATTCCAACCTCACATTAGATCCACATGAACACTAGTCTTGGCCCAAGACGTCAGTGATCCATAGTTGTTTTATTTCTGCTAAGGAGTGCCCTCCCACAACTAGTTAGTGTGAGCTGGTGCACAGTCTAATTATGAGTCGTTGGGGGCGCACTATGCACGGTGTCCGCTATCAAGCACTAACGTCTTGAAAACAAGACCACATGAACACTTGTTTCTGGTTGGCAAATTTCTGTACATTTCTACATGTACATCTCTGGTCATTTCTACTCCAAGCAGTTAAATTTTTTTTTTCAGCTCAAGCAAGATACAAATGACATTTACTCCAGAACACCGGGAACCATTAAAGTTTGCACAATGGTCAGTCATCACAAATCAGCTGCCCAAATTTATACAGTCAACTCTCGTTATAAAGAACACCGTTATGACAAAATAATGTTACAAAGAACAGATTTCAAGAATCCCAATTTCTTGGTTTCGTATGTTTTTTCTTTGTTTTTCCACTCCTTTTATCACCAAGTCCTGGTTATTACAAGGTAATATGTCTGGTCCCTGCAGCTTTGGTATGAGAGTCGACAGTACTAATTAGCCAGTTCTCAATACTGAGGGTGAGACAAGAACAAAAAAGAAACTTTACATCTAAACATGGATGTAAATCAATTTAATTTACGTTCTACTGCCCAAAGCATAGTCCAACGAGTCGGTATACCAATGTACACGTGTTCTCTCTGCATCATTCACAAATACACATGTACAATTGCTTCATTTTATAGTTTTCAGTGCAACATTTCAACTTTATCTATTTTATTGTGAAAGCCCTCTGTTAATATATGGAACGTGTCCTATAAGCATACATGTCAGATTGTGTAAAAAATGCAGCAACTGCTTTGCAATAGCAAACAGAGTGTTCACGACTTCACATCTGAAGGAATAACTAAAAGAAATACGGCAGTCAAGTTTCTTGAGCATATCAAACATTTTTCCCCCTTTTCAACATGCAAAGTGACATACAAAATGTTTTGAATACAATATAAAAGACAATTTTATAGTCTTATAATCACTTCCGCAGACAAACACAGGACAAATGACAATAGTCTTTTTTTCTTTACAATTTTACAACAGCAACTTCAATTAGATTTCCTTGTCTGAATGGACGGGATCTAATCATATCAGATTTTTCCTGCAAAGACTTCCACATTACATAGCACTGGATTGATCTGTACAGTTTTCCACTACATACACACAGGCTTGGAATAAGGCTTCACACCATATACAGACTGTACTCAAAAAGCAATTTTTTTTAATAAGTATTTTTGGTTAGAATTTTTATCAGCTTTTATCTTTTTTTTTTCTTTGCCGTAATTTACAAATTCTACTTTTTCATACATGCTCACACCGCTGAGGCACCAATTTTTTACATTTGGTTAACAGGTGGTTAACTGACAGAAGTCAGAAACCAACGTCACACAAACGGTGTAGAAAAAAGGAATGTGAAACATTTTTCCCCTCCAAATGCATAGGAATAGTTTACAGCAATACATTTCTCTTCAAAGAATGGACTGTATTATTAACAAACAGAACACACAGGGAATTCAAATAACTCCTCAAACATTTCATAGACCATCAAACTGTAACTGCTTTGGTACAGGCACATATATTTTTTTTGGCCAGTATTTTGTTAAACACTGTAGCATAAACAAACTAAATTACAAAATTCTCAATACAACTGCTCTTGAATGTAGGTCGAAGAGGAAAATTACTTACAACCTGATGCAGAGGTCCAATCGCGCCATGTTTCCCAAGCTTTTGAACTCTCAAGCAGCAAAACCAGCTTTGCTCTGGTTTTACACTGCGGCACAGTGCTTCAAAACCGTACCAAGCTTTCACTTACAGCTCACAACTCACAAACGTGACAGCGTGATGGGAAACACGACGCCATTGAAATGCAACAATAACTCCCTGGGCTCCATTACTAGGGGCCTTCAGCAAACACCTCCAAAATCCACTACGCTGCAGGAATCCAAGTGAAGTGGCACGCTCTTTGCACGTGACGCTTCAAGGAGCAACAACCCCGTGTAGAGTTAAAAATGAAGGGGCTCTAGCTTACCTAATTCTTACAAAACAACTCCCAGCGAATTTGAATGGATTTGGAATGCTTACAATCCGTAATCTCTCAACACACCACCATTAATGCTGTCAATGTCCCTGACACTGTCTTGTGCTTCGTACCTCATATTTATCAGCAATGTGACACAATTATCACACTGCTGAAAACTGCAACCATGCAGCCCTTTATTAAGAATAAAACTGTCTCCTCTCGTTCTTAAACCTAAATTCTACAAGTGCTAAAATATATTCCCGAGGGCGTGACTGGGATCAACCTTCCTACAATCCTGGAAGATCTTTGGAACCAAGTAGAGAATTTCAAAGGGTCCGGGCAATTTATAACTGATGCTGGAGTGTTTGACACAAACGGGTTTCAACCTTGAAGCAACTCTCCAAAGACTACGTACCATTCTCTTGGACGTCTGTGACGGCGTCTGGTTGGACAGCGTCCAGTCTGGTAGCCTCCTGCGTTGTTGCGTCACCGCCCCCACTTGTCAAGACGGGAGCGCCGTTGGCCGTGGGCGGTTCCTTCAAGGCTGTGGGGTCGCCAGCAAGGGCCGCCTCCCCTGAGACGATGGTGTCAATGATGCTCTGTAGGACTGCAGAGGGGGCTTGTTCCTCCGACGCTTTGCTGTTAATATCAACCTACAAGAAGACAGAGTGGATGATGTCTGTGTGTCCTTCTGACTTTTTGTGGAATAAGATTTAAGGGGCTAACTTCCCAGAGCTGGTAAGCACACCAACACCCGAGTAATCAAACCTCTAAAAATGCAGAATTTAGACTCACAAATCCTGAAATCTGGAAAAACTGGCAAAATCACATCCCTGGTAAGTTTTAGTGGGGATCTGATTGCATGACGACCCGCGTACATGTTGATAGCATAACAAAAACCTAAAATCCTGCAATTTGCTTCCCTGGAGGAGTAGCAGGCCATCATAAGCATTTTAAAAATTAGCTTCATCTCATTGCACCTCGCCATTTCTCTCACCTCGGCCAGGCTGGTCATCTTGGGCGGCAGGTCATCAATGGTGACCTCCTCGTCGTCGGCCTCCATGCTCCCATTGGGCAGGCCAGAGGCATCCGGGGGTTGGGCCTGGGGTTCCCTTTCTGGCCCGGTCGTGGCTGAGTCGTCTTCAGCATTGCCTTCTGCCTTTGGTGTGGCCATGTGGGTGGAGTCTGGCTCTGCACTTGGTTCTGAACTCTGTCATGGTGACAAGGAAGCAGGTAGCATTAGCAACCAAGGCTCTATTAACCCTAGTTCTCGAGGCGACAGAGAAGTTCCGTGAGCAAAGGGTTAGGGTTAGTGTGCTTGATAGATCATGCAGCTCTCTATCTGCTTGCTATGCATCCATGTAAAAATTGCTTTTTATAAATCACGCAAACCTGAGTTGGAAAAGGATAAATCTTTACACTTGCTGAATGTGTACTTGCAATAAATCTGCATTTAAAACTTAACTGAGCTGCACACCCCCATTGGTAACAGTGTTGAATTGCTGCGTGTATGCATGAAACATTTGAAACAAAACATGGCGACGTGTTTTGTGTAACAATCTGCGTGCAAAACTTCCACTACCAGGAGCATTTCTCAAATCCACCTCGGTGCAGGAAACTGCCAAGTTGTGCTTCCAAGTCACTTCAAAGTCATACAAAGCCTCACAGAGGATCATGAAGGATCTTGGAGGGTCAGTGATAATGAGGTGCACATCTTGGAGGGTTCTCCCTCAAACCTGCTGCTGTACTCGACCCATCCTCCGATCTTAGTCCTTGTTCCCCACAACTGACTGACCTCTTCGGTAATTACAGAAGGAACAAAAGGCGACCCACCTGGTTGTTTTCCTGAGCAGTTGCAGCCCCTATGCTCGTAATGGTCTCGTCCTCTCTAGCACTGAGCTCATCATATTCGTCGTCATCCTCGCCACTGCCAAGACTGAAAAAAAGGAGGGGAAATTTGGATTTAAATCCACTGGTTGATGAAAACATTTCATCCATCGAGTAATGGGCTGGGACAGGCCGTACCAGGCATGATGATCACCAAGACACACTCAAAGTTTCAGGGTTTCATCAAAGTTCCAGGGTTTAACCAACAGAGCCAGGAAATACTTACTACGTGACAGCATTTGTCTCGCTCATTGACAACTCAATCTTAACTTGGTCTTTACTTAAAGCACTCTCACTGTCTCTGTGGTACAAACAACAAATTTGGATTTGTTCGTGAAATTGGAACACAATTTGCACATTCAGCTAAAATGAAATTTATTATCAATGAGTTTCTGGCATCACAAAGTTCAAACGGTATTTAAGTTTAACTGGTCTGTTGTAATCTAGCAAAGGTAAAATCTACCTGGTACCGCCGCAATTGCTTTTTTTCTGTATTTTCAATACCTATTTAGTGCAGATTCGTACGGACACTTACTCGTCTCGGTCGCTTGCCTCCAACTTGCGAGCCAAGTCATCATCTCTGGTCTGCAAATGAAAGATAATAAATGAAGCTGGATCAGGTAAACTTGTCAGAAAGGGAAGGTTTTATATTTACCAACTAGGAAAATCAAGCTTAATTTGATCAGTTTGATCAACGCTGATGTGAAACAGTGTAACTTGAAGGCTGGGACTCCATGTAGAGAACTGATGATAATGCTGTGTTGCCCACCTCCACGTGACAGCAAGAGACAGCTTGGGTGCTACTGATTTTTAACTCATTGTGCACAAAACCAACCAAGCCCTTTATGTGAGAAGACACGCGAGTGTGGAAGTCTTATGGAAACTAAATTGGACTTCAACCATTTGCTGTTTAACTGGGTATGACCTCACATAAAAAAAGAGTTTTGAAAAATTTTAGAAAGTCAAGCAAGGTCTTAGTTTGAAGAATTTTTAATTTCATCAACACTAAGGGTTTAGCTAAGCTTGATGTCAACAGAATGAAAGAGAGACTGACCTTTCCCAGTTCTTCTGCCTCCCTGGATGTGGCCATGTCCATAGCTGTCTCCAGGGCCACTTCATCGAAGGCGGGCTTCTGGGCAGGCTTGGGGGAAGCTGCTGCCTTGGAGCCAGCAGAGGGCTCCTGAGCTTCCTCAGAGGAGCTTGCGTCAGACTCCGCCTCCGAGCTGCTACCTATGGATGAAAAACGAGGCAAGGAATCAACGCTGACCAGTTAGGTCACGGGGGAACTCGCTTGACAACATACGACATCGCCTTGCGTTAGAAAATCCCAGGACAAGTTCAATCGAGGTACTCGTGCAAATCAACTGCTGATTTGTGACTTATGGTTAAAAGAAATAGTGATACCTTTCCCCAAACCAAACACCAAACAATATTGCACAGTACAGCATCGTATGCAAGTATTACAATGCCATACCAGATCTTCACAGCACTGGCTTCATGGTGCACAATGCACTGTTACCAATAACTATTTGTATCCAATGCTTTCACCCACCACACGAACCAGCTCCCAGTTGGTTGATTTTAATAACAAAGTCTGTTGACAACCAGAGTGCATTCAATGCCATGCAACACACGGCTAACCACTGCCCTTGCTACAAATTGCTCTTTCCGGCCACTGCATGCCACGGGGACCTGTCCGTAGGCTCCGTCAGCTAAGGGTTGGAAACTCAGTGCCAAGTGTCAACAGATAATACAATCACTTGACATGTGGTTGTGCTTTCTGCAAACATGCACATCACTCAGTGGGCTATTCTAAATGGATATCACTGATTGGTTTAAAAAAAAAAAATCCCTGTGTCACATTCAAAGCTGGAGCCCAAAGGACGGAATTGAAGCCCTTACCTTCGTCGTCAGAACCCTCTTCCTCGGCGGCTGTGCCCGCTTCGGTCCCTGTCTCAGTCCCTGTTACTCCGTCATCTTCTTCCCTTTCCTCTTCTTCCTCGTCGTCTTCGTCGTCCTCCTCGTCGAGGGCCACCGCCTCCTGCTTCAGCTTGCTGCCGGCCGAGTCCAGGTCCTGCATCAGCCGGAAGAAGGCCAGCTCGTTGAAGAGGATCTCCGAGATGTCCACCAGCAGGTCCTCACCACACTCCCGCATCCTGAAGATTGATTGAAAAAGCAAGGCTTTATTTTCAACTGACGTTAGGTAGCACCAACGAAACTGACCACAGCAGGATTGAGCCTACAACTTCTGAGACATGGGACTGGTTCTCAAGTTACCTGGACCTTGAAGGATTCCAATTTAGGAATGGACAGCAGTCTGAAGAGTGCTGAACACTCAGTGAACAGTGGTATTGTAGTCACAGGTTTCCACCCGTACCAGCACGTTGTTGCTTCATGCTTAATTTGAGGTATTATTCTTTACTTGGAGCATCTTTGTCAGGACTGCCAATTTCTAGAATATAATTTGATTTTAACCCTAGCAGTGTCTTGTTCAAATCATTGTCAATTTATAGTTGAAAATTACATTCCCTTGGCATCGATTTTGACGTTTGTACACAAGACAAAAGGGGTACAAGCATTACTTATCAAAAATCATTAAATCATACAACTTTAATCTAAGCATCTGCTTTCAGCAAAGTACAAAGTCACGTGGCATCCTATCAACTGGGCTCAACGGTATATATATAAAGGTCACAGTCTCATTTAAAACGATGTGTGACCATGACTTCACACAAACACCAAGAAAATTCAGGCCAATCTACTGCCTGAGAATTCATCCCACAACGCAGAAACCAAACTCGACAACCATCCACTAAAACTGTCTGCCAAACCTCGGCTGACCAACTCCAATACAACATACAGTGAAAGGACTCACTTCCTCCCTGAGAATTTGGCCAGCGAGTCCTGCAGGATGGAGCCCAGCTGCCGGTTGAAGAAGCGCACAAACTCCCGGCTGTCGTCCCGCTGCTTGGACAGGGTCAGCACCAGGCGGCGGATGTAGGCCAGCAGCTGAGGTGAGCAGACGTCATCCATGTGCTCCTTGAGGTACGGGATGACCTCCTGCATGATGTTCTTGATCTGCAGGTCCAGCTGCCGCGTGTCGATCCGGGGGTACTGGAAATGAAATACCGCAGACCAAGACACACATGGGCATTTAGAAAGTGCAGTCGGCTTCCTGGATTCCGAGGGGGATTTCTGGAGGGATTCGGCAAGGCTCTTGGCACATATGCGACAAAACTACCAGGGCGTAAGTTAGGAACACAAAGAAATTGACGTAACACCAAGCAGACAGGATTTAAATAATAACAAACCAATGTGACTTCCAGGATTTTTAACCCTAACAGTCCCAAATCCTCTGATTTCAATGTGATTTTACATACACCCTTGGGGGTAAGGGTTAATAGTTAACAAGGCACGAGTTCTGTTCCTAATGCCAATGCTTTACTTATGTGAATAGTGCATGTAATTAGGCAAGAGATTGGGAAGACAAAAAGTACTTGTACTGCCCATTTCACTCTTCCATTATCAGCTTTTGAGGAAGCACATATCAAGGTCAAATGATAATACACTCTCACTGTTTACATGTCAAAAGCACAAAAACCAATGCCTCACAAAATGCAAACATGGAAAATCTAAATGTGGGGGAAGAAGTTCTTTAAAAATGTGAAAAAAATTCCCAGCAATTACTCTCTTGGGACTGGCAAATGAAGTACGCTTTGCTGGAAGACAAAAAAATAAAACTATACAAAAAAACGAAACCAGTGCAAAGATGCAATCTACTCCTTACTACATCAAGAGTTCCAGTGAAACCAAAATATTCTCTGTGATGGGAACCAAAGAAACCAAGAGCACACAACTTTTAGTGAACTGATCAGGCCCAACTACTCACAGGCAGGTCAGAGAAAGAGCTCTCGCTGCCCATGTCCTGGGCCGAGCTGTTGCTGGTCACCTCGCTGTTGCTGACAGCAGCCTTGTCCATGGAGGCTGAAGCGTCAGAGGAGATGGCCGCAGAGGCCTCGGCTTCTGCCTTGAGACGCTCATACTCCCGCATCCTCTGTTGTAAAAATATTTAGAGCACAAAAAGAAGCCGCTTCAGTACAGCAGTTGGAAGAAAGGTGATACCCTTTGTTCTCAAAGTGTCGTTTTTGACCACACAGCTCAGCATGCTAATGCCCTCCACTTTGAGTACACAAAGAGATACAAAGCAACGACTCCACATCAAGTGAATCGGAGGAAGCACCAGATGATGGCTGGTGCACTCATTTGCTTATGAGTGAATTTCCTTCACTATCTTGGCATTACTTAGGATAGAGGAGTTCATTCTTGTAATACCATGGTAAGGCAGGTCCATGCAACAACTGTGTTCCAAGTTCCAGAAATCAAGTAATGTCAGTGCTTTTTGTTAATCAGATCTGAAATTATTGCCTAAAGACAAGAGCGGTGACATAAACTGTTTAGTAAGTCTAAGTGTGACACAGAGAGAAACACTCACAAATAGCCATCACTCGAGGCTTTAACTGGAAACCGAATATTCCGCTCAACAAACGTTTTCTGTGAGAAGTGGATTCCTTGGCACAGCGGCTGCACTGAATTGGCCCTGGATCTGAAAAATTGATGGGGTAAATCGACATATGCTGGTTTCCTACCTGCAACGCCTTGTCCAAGTGGATGACAGTATCACCCAGCTCATCGTTGGCAAAGCCAAAGTCCTGGCTGAAGGAAGGCGGCGTGGACAATGAGCTGGCCGAGCCCACGCTCTCCACATAGTCAAACTCTTCAGCGTCCAGCGATCCTTTGGAATGCTGGGCCGTCATCTTCTTGCCTGCCTTCTTGGGGTTGGTGCGGTAGATCTGGGCCTGGGAACACAGAGAGTGAACCAAGGCATTTTTATTAGACTCACAGATGAAGAGGAAATGGTTTGTACAATGAAACGCAGAGTTGCACTCAAGGTGTTGTGGGTCAATAACACCAGTTTTTCATTGATTTCATCTTCAGCTTCACACTGTCATCTCATGAATTCCCTCCCAGGTAAAGTGCAGCTCCATTTGCTGTAACACCAAAATCAAACAGCCAAATGCAATGTGCTAGTCATGAGTCCTGTCATTTGACTTTGACTGCATTAAAGTATGAAAATTATTCTCGAGCAACAGATGAACCAAAATGGGAGACTTCACCAAGTCAAGTCTTAAGCTTAGAAAAATGATGTTCCTCTGGCGCTGTCTAACACAGTCCACTTAAATTGAGTGGACTACCAAACGTAAGGTAAAACTTGACAACCTTAAAGGACTTGTGCAGTCAATCAGATTGCAGGTAACTGACAAGACGACGACTGCACACGACACTTTTGGAAAACAAAAAGAGAGAATGCTTGCGGCAGTAATGATTAACTTTCTCTGCCAGCGAGAAGTTTCTGCTTGGGATGACAAGACGCAATCTCCGAGGATATCTGACCTTGATCTCGTCTTCCTCGGACGTGATCATGCTCTCACTGGGGGTGTGCTCGGAGGCCGTGGTAGACATCTGCCAGAGTGTGCGGGGATCTTGCCGCTGCTGCAGCTGGGTGGACTGTCAATTCACAATCACAACCACAGTTCACAGTTACAACCAAAATACAAAATCTCAAGAGGACAACAGTAATAATAGACGGAAATACTGAAGCTAAGAAGCATCTACCTCGAAGAGGCCACATGGTGGACTTCCTGCATATACTTTCCTGCAGTTGATTTCCTCCATGATTTATTATTTACATACTGTACCAAGCAGTTCTCCCTGCCTCACAAAAATCAAAGAACACTGCAACGTATCAAACGAATGCAGAGCACTATTCCTGCAATCAAAGCCCTTCAAAGCGTCCACTCATGTGAGCAGGGGGCATACACCCGGTGGATAATGAAATTACCATTACATATCTTTACCCTTTAACCATGGTTGGCAACAATTAGCTAGAAAGCTGGTTATTACAGTAAGCTACAATCAATCCTAATACTCTGGATAATATTCTAACAAACCTCTAATCCTCCGAAATCCGCATTACGTAGGAAGTGAATGGCACATTCTTTGCTCTTTGACTTCCAAATGGCACCAAATCTCATTGAAAGAACAAATGAGAACTCTTGATGTCCTAAATCCTGCAAAATCCTCCAAAACTACCCGATGGATTTTGGAGGATCTAAGCGGCAAAAAGAATAAAAATTGAGGCATTGTGAACTCACCGCACTGCCTACTGCTGGACCCTTGGGGACATGGACCGAGTCCTCAGTCAGGAACTTCGAGACCAGGTCCTGAAGGGAATAAATCGCCCTCTGGCGCAGGTAGTCGGAGTTGAGCAACTGCAGCTCCCGGAACAGCTCGATCAGGAAGTGGGGGCGGGACTCATTCTGGGAGATGAGGGTGGCCACCTCTGAGTAGATGGATTCGCGCAGGGCCTCAAAGAGGGAGAACTCGCTGCCGGCATCTGACTCCCTGAACAGTCACAAGAAATAAATGTCAATGAAGTGTTTAGGCAATTTACAAAAAGTCGCCCTGGGTCTTGATTGACAAACTTGCAAGTAACTTAAAATGCAATGCAACGGCACAATGCTGGGAATTTGAAAGACTCCTTGCACAAATTGTATGAAGGCAAAGCAAATTTACTTTTCAGATGAAACCTTGATAATGTTTTCCACTCCAGCCAAGAAACCAACATCAGAAGGTTCCTGACCAGCAGACTCCTCACATTTGAATGATGTATACATATTCCACTTGTTATAAGAAGGGACCAAATCAAGCTAGTAACGGATCACACAGAATGGAAAAGCATGGAAAAGCTCTCAACTCCTAGGACATTGGAGGTAACTCCCGCAAATAAACAGGGGCAGACACGACTGGTGAGGAAGGGTTCTCCTTCCTGGCAGATATTACAAGAGATGGACTCACATCTCGCTGGTGGACAGGAGGGAGCGCTGGGTGTCGGGCAGCCTGGTCTGTCGCTCCACGTCCCCAGGCATGCTGGACATGGACATGGTGCTGCTGGCCATGCTGGCCACGTCCAGGAAGGCCGTGCCACTCAGGGAGCTGCTCAGGCCAGGCCGGGGCCCACGCCGGGTGTCCGAACTGGGCCTGCCTGCCCCGGCCGAGACCTTGGGCTTGGCTCCGCTGGCCTGTAAGTCTGTTGGGTTGCCAAAAAAAAGTTCTCAGAGCTGTCATTCAAGAGTGGACCATCAGATCTTTTTCAGGGTTAATGCAGGGATCTTGTCCATGAACAAAAACCGACAATCCATAAACCTGTTTATCAAAAAATGCAGATCACAACTATAAAAACTGTTCTGTGAAATGTGTTCCAAAAAAATGGAAACAATAACAAAAGAAAAATGGTAGCATCGTCAAAGTCTACTGCATTTTGTCAGGTTCATGAGTAAGATTTCCAATGCTAAACATCTTGTGCTTGTCACCTGCCAATTATTTAACCCATTACCTACATACCTACACTCGACTGCCTTTTGTTGGTCAAATTCGGTGGGCAAATTAAAAAGTACTAGAAATAACTCACTTGATTTCTTGCTGGTTGGATTAGTACTGCCCTGCTGAGCCATCTGCCTTCGCTTCTCACTGCAATTGAGAAGGGCGAGTGAAAATAACGAGAAGACAAAAGGATTTACTACTAAGTATATATTACTGCAAAAACAGTGCAACCTTCCAAAGGTCCCCATGAGGAGAAGTGTCAAGTAAGACACCACGGTGCTTGAGCGTCATCTGCCTCTCACCCACAGTATACCAAGGTCAAGCAAACTGTCTCGTGCAGCGCCAAATTCCTCCAACTGGAAATCACTACTGTAACGTATTAATGACTTCTACACAGCTGTGATTCTGACTAGGAAATGTGGCTTTTAAGTTTGTAAAATGTTTGCTGTAACAACTGGTATGACAGAAGACATCCACTTTTATTTGAGCAAAGGTACATTAACTGGTCCTGTAGCATGTCCAGTCTAGCCTCTAAAGGAGCACAGTAAAATTGGGTTTGGGAATTCCTGAAATTGTCACCAAAATCTTGACCGATTGAAAGTGAGGCCGCCAGTTGATACTGTACTCACGATCTTTCCAGAAGACTCTGTATGTCCAGGGGAGGCACGAACGGCTGAGCCTGCCTGGTGGCTTGGTCACCGGCGCTGGGCTCCGGGGCACGCTCCGTGTACACGTACGACAACCGGCTGTAGTCGGCGCCGGGGTTGGCATCGCGGCTCATGTCAAACTGGTCCACGCTGCCCTGAGCAGTGTTGGGCGGCACGTGGTAGTCCCGCTGAAGGGCGTCCTGCTCCTGCCGGTGGCGGGCGTAGGCATCGTAGTCGCGCTGTCGCCGGCGGGAGGCAGAATCGAGTGATGGCTGGCCGTAGGGGGAGGTGTAGTCCAGGGGGTCGGAAGGAAGGAAACCTACAGGAGACAGAAATGTGGCAACAGACATGCAATTAGGAAATATCTGACAAAACTGCGCACAGCAGTTTTAAAATTTAAAAAGGCACAAACGTGAATAAAATAGTGAAGATATCAGCCAATGTCAGGAAACGTTGCCTGCCTCACAATTCCTGTTTATCATACCATGGCTGTTAATGAAGTTTCTAACGAGCAGATCCACCTCAAATCTGCAGAGGAAACCAGCTGAGTTTTCCAACTGTAACAGACTGCTGTAAGCCACCAACATAAAAGAACTGGCCAGGGCCTTACCTCCAGGTTGGTAGAGTCCTGCACCATACGGGGAAGTGCTGGCGAACGGGGTGAAGGTACTTGTTTCATAACCAGTCAGGCCGTTCATCCTGTTGTTGTTAATGTTGGCATCCCCGGTTCCCTCAAAACCAAGCGGCCTGCTGCCAGGATTGGTTCCTTCAGCCGTCTAACAACCGAATGGATTTAAACATGTTGTTTGTCAGGCAGGTTGAAAATAGATCCCTGTAAAAACATTGGTACTGACCCCATTACTGTTTCTCATTGTAAAAAAAAAATTGGGATTTAAAAAATGCTGTGGGGAATATTGCTGCAGTACATTTTGCACATGCCATGTCTTGAGGAGACTTTTCGGTGACAGCTCGCGGTCACTGTGAAATCTGTGAAATTCCCATGCCCATTTTTCCAAGACAGGTCAGCCAAAAAAGGCATCCATTTTCCACTGTGGTCCTCAATGCACACAAGCTGACACACGTGTGAGTCAATGATCTTCAAATGTCTGTAACATCAATACCCAGCCACCCGACCACGGCAAGCTCGGTGGTTGAGTGTGGTTAAGACATCTGCACTGGTCTGCAGTGGAGGTCGTGGGTTCGAGTCCCATCTGAGTAAGCTTGTGAATTTCTTCCAAGGCTCTCAGACAAGCACTCAGTCTACAGTGTTTATGAATATACGTCAGTGTAAGGGCAAAACCTGTAATTACAAAAATTAACATCTCCCTGACACAAAGTACATGTACAGCTTGATATCAATACCCTATGTCAAATTGAATTCAAACTGAACACGCCATTACATGCACGCCACGTTTCCGAAAAAGACCTGGCATGTGAAAGCTGCCCTCCAACCCCCTGGCTGTGCCCAACTCATTAAGGATTAACAAATAGGTATTCGAAGTTCATGCTACATTCGTTCATTCCCTGTATGCATACATGAAGAGTTGCAGGCTAACACACTGTTCAATCTTTTTATCACTCCGAACCAGGAAAATACCCAAGACTGACAGCAAGGCTTTTAACATGTTTAACAGCCACTTCCCATGAAATTTTCTAGACACCTTCCTCAATCCTGAAAAAGTTCCACCGTGCAGGAAATCAAGGAATGGCTCTGCGGCATAGAACTTTTGGACACCTCTATCCAAAGAAACAGCAGCTTGGTTGCGGTCCCCAAACGGTTTTAAATTTCTTTAGGACGTGGCACTATTCCAGGTCAACGTGCATTACACTGTATTCCTAAAGGCGGCTCCGGAGTCCTGAAAACCAAACCGACAAGACGCCCACCTGTAAGCGCTGCAGTTCCTGCTGCTGCTGGTACAGCTGGTTGTAGGCGTAGTTCATGTTCAGCTGCAGCTGCTGGTGCTGCAGCCGCATGTTGTAGTCATTCATCAGGTTGGCCAAGCGGGGGTCGCTGTTGGTAGGGGTCGGGGTGGCGGAGCCAAAGGTAGGGGTGTGGGCCGACAAGGGCATCCCTCCAAAACCGCCTGGGGGAATCAGGGGGTGTTACCAGAAAAGGGGGTAAGTGATAAAAACCCTGGTATGGAAGGAGCCAGAAATGAGGGAAAGCGCAGGCTGTGTAAGACTCTGACCTCACACTTCTTACCCCAAGTACTTTCATAAAAACTCTCACTACTGAAAGTAAGCGAACGTAAACCAAGGAGTGTCATTGTTACAAATCGTCATCAGTAACTTTGAGGCTTAAATAAGACTGGGCACCTGCGATGTACTTGCAAAGACTGCTGAGGTAACTGTGAGTTCTTATTTAGTACTCGACTACAACACAGCTTGATCCTGGCAGGTCGTGGCCCTCGCCGCAACCCCCCCTCCCTCCCCGCTGTCCCACTCACCCGACATGGAGCTCTGCAGCATGTTGTTCATGCACTGCTGGTCGCGCAGCATGGACTGGCACAGGCCGATACTGTTCTGCAGCTGCTGCTGGAGCTGCTGGATCTGCCAGTGGTAGAAGCCGCGGTCCGGGGAGGTGTCCAGGAGACTGGCGCCGAGGGCCGACGACCTGCTGCCGTCTTCAGCCATCAGCTCCTCAGCAGCGCGCAGGTTCTGAGAGTTTCGAGAAAAAAACTGGTTTCAACAACAGCGACGGATGCTCTGGAACTGCACGTTACATCACTACTGGTCAGTGAATATACTGGACTAGTAATCATGGATTCAGGTCCTGCACGTCCAAGCCCAACAGGCTAGCAAACTTTTTCTCGTAATGTCTCAGACAGCATGGGGACAATGGCATTAATTAAATTCTATCAGTGACGGGACCACAAGATCAGTATCTCCCTAATCCTGGTGGCGAAACAAGAAATGAAATCTGGAAAGCTGGAACTCATTTGGCTTTGAATCTTTCTCCAAACGTAGCTTGAAGCACAAATTCTAAAATTTGCCCGCTCCCTCCCAAAAAACAAAGCCAACAAACAACAAACTTGCATCTATGCACTTTATATGTCTGCCCAAACAAACATATCTTGTAAGAGTAAAAAGTCCAAAAAGCTGACAGGGTGCTATTTCCACAGATGTGGCTAACACTGACAGATGACAGAGTATCACAGAAACACCACCTGCATGATCGTCATTACTCTCAGCAAAGACACTACATGAGAACACAAAGAAACACACTGCCAGGTTTCAGTGTATACTATCTGGCATTTATCAAATAAAATAATGACCTAAGAAATGCACGCATGATTACAGATGAGTAAAGGGTGAAAAAATTGATGACTGCCTTCACTGCGACCACTTCTTCTACGTGTTGATAATTTTTACAGAATACTGAATTTCACAGCAACAATGGTTTTGGTTAAGCAGTAACACTCAAATTATCCATTATCTTAAGGCTCAAAACTACCGTCCAAACAGAAATGCGTTGGACAGATGAAGTACAAACACATGGAGACGACCACAGGGTTTATCGAGCAATCTAGAGAGGCCCATCCACCAACCTGTTGGCGCTTGGCCGCTGCCAAGCTGGCCCTCAGCCTGGGGTCTGACACCCACTTGGGGTAGCGGATGCCATGGAGTGCCTCCAGCTCCGCCTGGTCGCTGTTCCCAATCGTCTGGCCGGGGAAGGAGTTGGGTCTCGGCAATGGCCGGTGGTAGGCATTATCAATGGTATAGGTGCTGGACGTACCTGCAAGACTCTGCTCCTTAAGGAAAAACAAAACATTTTGCCGTATAAAGCGAGGCCAACGGCTAAAATACACTATGCGGGAAAAAAAAGGGACAAACAATAAATAAAACAAGGAATTCGACAATTTCAGCACTTCACAATTTAGACAGCATGCTGCAGGACATGCTCTTCCTGATCTACCCCCGGCATATCATCGACAGTCAATGTATTTTGCCATAATGCATGTACACTTGCTTGAGGTAAGGGAACGTTTCATAATTACAGAAGGCGGTATTTACTGCGGTACCGCTGTATTTTTGCGGTGCCAGCATTAAGCCCTTTCGGGTAACTAGTGCGGTGCCGCTAAAAAAAAACAGCGGTACCGCAGTAAATACCGCCTTCAACAATTATGAAAAGCTCCCTAACAATGTTCACAAGTTTTCGTACTTTCTTGACCATGACGGTGGAGGGTTAATTTTCCCTGTGGATGATACTTCTTTACTAGTGAGTTCTCTCAAAGCCATGATTCATGAAATGACTCAACTAACATCAGCAAAATATTTCACAATATTAATAATACCACCACAGCATCTCACAGTATCAGTAATTCAAAGGCATATATGATCATAATCCCTGCACACTGACACATGTATGAATATTGATGTTTCACTGGCAGCCAATCACAACACAATGACCGGATGGTCCCAGGATGCTGTTTACACACAAGGCCTGTGCTTTGAGTCGCACAGATACCTGTCACTTTATGCACGTAAATGTACATTACATGTGAATGTACCAACAGACATCAGTCGAGCGCATTATGAAGCTCAAGTATTGTCCGTGTTCGGTGTCTGTTCGAGGACGTGCAAAGTTTGGCCTGGCCATCGCATTGGTAGAAAAAGACAAAATGGAAATATCTAGGCAAATCCGGCCTGTCAACGGCAAAAAAGTGGAAAATGAAATTCGGCATACTCAACAAAGACGCTGAGGTTTCACACCCCTGAAATATCCGGGTGGGTCAGCAACAGTAATTCTTATTTCTTTTTCAATAAAAAGATTTAGGGTCCGCACGATTTGCTAGGCTGGTGTGGGTAACCGGAAGCAAAGCTATTATTTTGTTTGGCCTAAACAAATAACATCACTGAACCGTAGACGAACCTGACTGAATTTCAGGGTCTAAATGACTTTTACTTACACCTTTCTCTTTTCGTTAATTACCAACTCTGAGATCACGGAAACTACAACGCCAGGAGAGAGGGGATTTTGGCAGACTTACCCGTTCTTCCTCCTCCTCTACCTGTTGGATGCCGTCGCTAGGATACGCATCATCTTCATCATCTTCACTCTGCTGGGTGGAGCCTCCCCAGGATGCAGCAGCTGTCACATCAGCGCTGCGCATGCTCACTCTGTGAGGCCAATGAAGGAATCGTACTTACTTTTTATACTACGAGTTTCAAATATGAGACGTGATGCAATTTGGTTTAAAAATTCTCATGCATTCTAATACTTATGCACCTTAACCTCCCAAACATTTTGTCTCCTTGTTTACAAATGATTTACAAGAAAAGGACAAAAACGCTTCAGACTGTATGAAGTAACCCCCACTAAAAATACGCAATCACGAAAACCATTTTACCACAAATTTTCTAGGCCCTATTCCATGAATGACAAAAACCTGATACAAATAACTTGAGGTGCAAATTACATTTCACGACTGAAAAGATTTTCTTTTTGAAACCTGGACGAGACTGATATTGGAGCTTACCGGAAGAGGTCATTATCATTGCTGTCCCCTTGGGCTGAACCGCTGTCGGAATTCATGTCACCCTAAAACACATATTGATGGGAAATTACATTTTTCCAGTAGATAGTGCACATAGCCAGATCTTTTTCAGGTGTTTCGTCATCAACCACTTGCTGCCGGGTGGTTTGAAAAATGCAGTGCACACAAACGGGACATTTTCAGATTTTCAAAATTCTTCAAAATTCATCATTTCAATGAATGGACGTTTACACCCACACGAATGACTGTCTGGCGGTCACTCTATTCTGACAGACAAAATCTATTTGACGCCCGAGTTTTTCAGCCACGCCTGCAGCCTTGTAAAAAGAGGCCAGATTGTGCAGTGTTTTGTAACTTTCTTTTGTTCACGAACCTGGCTCAGTGTGCTGCTGACCTCTTTTCAATAGGGGCCAGATTAGCATGCAGCGGTACAGTGTAGCTCATCGCTGCGGTGGTGGAGCGCTTTTGTCCCTGGTGGTAATCGGCTTGCGCTAAATCCCCAAAACCGTGATATACTGTTTCAAAACAAGGCTGGATTATTTCCACTATTGAGGGTGAAAAAATGTTGGTAATGCCCAGCAGCTCAGTCTTTTGTTATAAGGCCCAGTTCCCTTTGTCCGATTTCGGAGACCCTGGCCACGCGTATAAAGCATACATGTCCGGTACCAGAAACCCCGGCGGCAAGTGGTTAATATGGGTGGGAATTTAAGTTTTATTTGAAAAACGTAAAGAAAACTTTCCCATACCATTGAAACATTTAGCCAACTCTCTCCAGTGGCCACCACCTTCCTCGGTGTTTTTATATATGCTTAAGTATATAGTTCATACACTGTAAATAGTTGACGGAAAGTTCTGGTGATGAATTCATGGTATTCCTTTGATATGACCAAGCAGTAAGGTGTTCCGAAAATCAGATTAAATTTTACAAGCATTGTTTACTATAAAATGAACGCCAGATTGCGTCAGTCAAAATGTACAAACCTCTAACAGGAGCGGTTCCCTTTATAAGTTTGTGGAAATCTGTGAACGGATTTACTACTTTTTTCGTTTAAACGTTTAAAAATGTAAACATCCCACCTTTAGTCAATAGCAATTGTGGATGACTTTTCTGATTATAGTTCTCAGCTTTTGTATGTCACACATACAAATATTTCCCCATATTACTTGACAAACTTTTCCTTCCTTCCGAACAGCTTTGAATTCAAACATCGCTGTGATCTTGCAGATTTTCACTAGGCCTTTGGAGCCCTAAATACAGCCCAACCAGAACAGCCACCACCACCGGAAGCCGGTGATGAGACTTCAGAAGCGACGCTCACCGTGTTGTTGCGCTTGACTCGGTCCATCAGGGCAGCCAGCTCCTGCTGCTTCAGCTTGAGCTCCGTCTGCAGTCGACGGTGCCTCAGCTTCTCCGCGATCAGCGTCTGGTGGCTCGGTGAGGAATCGTCTGAGTAATAAATCCATCGGAAATTCAGTTTACAGTACCCCATGTATGGCGTCAAAATCAAACTAACGGTTACAAGTCAAGTAGCACTTTTGAAATGGAATTAAGCTTTGGGGGCACACCCGCTGTATTTTTGTGTAATAAAGCGATGCCAATCTTTGAGTGGTGCAATTTTGGCATTTTGTTTTTCTTTTTCCCATTCTAACGCAAACTTCTTCTGGAAATTTGATTACAGAACCCACTGCTACTTCACATTAAAATCCAATAGACAACCCCAGCAAGCTAAGTGGTCAGACTAACAGCAGTAGTGAACAGAGAGAGGGTGGTAGGTTTGAGCTCCACCCAACTTGGTTAATCAGTTTTGCTCTTACAATCTCTAAGAAAACACAGAGCATAAAACTTACTCAATAATGATGGTAAAGGACAAAGCCCACTTATGTGAGCCTAAAATTCTTGGGCCAGAATTTTTTCCCAGGTCAGTTTTAAAGGGCTTTTAAGTGGCTGCAAGCGCATTAGGGCATTACCAGCACAACGGGAATAGACATTACAGACAACCGCTCACAGTTACAAGTTTTAAAAATGCACTCCATTTCCAGTCCAACCTTTCGCATCTCGGCAGAACACAGAGGCAACCAGCAGAAATCCAAGCTGAAAATCTGCTTACCTTCCACGCTAGTCTCAGCCTGCTGTCTCAGTGATGCTAGTACAGAGGGATTCTGCCTCGTGGTGTTTGTTGATTTCAAAGCCTGAGAGAGTGGAACAATTGTGCAATCAATTTCACAACAACGTGAAAGTCAGCATTCATAGTTTCCTTGAAAGATGAAAGTATCATGACAATACACGACGAGGACACAGTGTCACACGTAGTTGAGCCTAACTGCTACTGCAACTTTATCTAAATCTCTGGGATGCCACTTCACTATAAGCTAACTCAGTGAGGCCTCATATAAACTTCTGAACTATTAACCTTTCACAAAAACTAGTGGTTTGGCAGCAATAAAAAACTCAGCTAGTCCAGCATTGATCTCTCGGAATAGTAGGAAAGGTTGAGACGTTAAGTTTGAGTCCCCCAAGGCTCTTTTTCTTGTTAAAAGCACGGCACCCACAAGCCGAGACCCACCCACCTGTTGAGATCTGGGCAGCTGCCTGTTCAGGTCCCTGAGCTGCTGCTGGACGGCCAGGAGTCGATGCCGTTCCTCCTGCAGTTTGTCCAGCTCCCGTCGCTGCTGCTGCATCTTGGCCTCAAAGTACGCCTCCCTAGTGGGGGGAGTGGCACACAAATTAAAAAAATTACATCCAAATCACATCTGTCCAGCTTCTCCCTGAACCTTTTCTGTACAAATACACACACCTCCATAATACATGGAAATATGGATATGTCCTTTTTCAGGTTTAAAATTTATTTCAAAATGAGCCCTTTCCCTGTCATTTTCAATGCCAATGTTATTTTCAAACACCTAATGCTGTGGTTCTCTTTGGGCTATCATACTACAGCTTGGAGATTTTTCTGCCGTACTTATGAATTTCAATTACAGTTCACTGTAACAGTTTGTTCATGAAATGTATGCCATGGCTACCCCGTCACTGTTACCTAAAGTAAGCTGAGAAAACCACTCTCTTCCAGAGAGACCAACAATGTTAGTGGCACCATGCAAGGAAGCAATTTCAAAGAAACTCTGCTTCCTGCACCGTGACAAAGAGGTACTGTAAAATTGCTCAGGCATGTGATTCTATGTACCTCACAAAGGTCTGTTATAAAACTGAAGAGAGGCATTTTTTCCCGCAACTTTATCATGGCCGGCCTGAGGCATTTCTTTGCCCCTTTCTGACGCAAACTCTTTCTCACCTGGTCTCTTGGCTGACTTGGGGCACCTCCTCGCTCATTTCAGACGTCGTCTGATTGGACTCCTCCTCCCCTTCCTCTTCTTCATCTCCGCCTTCCTCCTCTTCGTCGTCCTCATTCTGGTCATTGGCTGCATCGGCGTCTTCCTGCAGGCTGGCGGCCAGTGCAGCCAGCTCCTCCGGCAGGCTGACGGCTGTCTCGGGCCGCTGCTGCACCAGGGCCACCAGCTCCTGCAGCTCCCTCAGCTTCCTCTTGGCAGCTTGGAGTTTCCTGGAAACAGAAACGAAAACACAACCGACGTTCCTGTGAGTTGTGGTTACGGTCTCAAACTTCGACTGACTGCACTTTTCTCAATGTATAATGCCATTCACCTAGACCATATCACAAAAATGTGACTTGCTTAATGTGGAAATACCGCATTAACACTTTACTTTTCATAACCAAATTGCAAGGTGTTGGGTTTATGCAACCACACAAAGCATTCAGTCCTGACAGCACTGGACATTAATTGGTACCCTTTCCTTAGGCAATCTCAGATAAGATGACAAAAATGTTATATATTGAATAAATCTAAAAGACGTTCATTTGTTTTGAGATTTTGATATGTGAACACAAATGGGTAGGTATTAAAGATAATGAAGAACTAAGAACACACAAGACCAGTTCATGCTTGATTCAAAAGCAAACAGCAATGCAAAATTGTGACGCTCAATCCAGTATTTGCACTATGAATTTGCAAACGTTCAACACAACTCAGTCCAAGCAAACCTTGCTCCAAGCCTCTGCATTTCCCTGAAAGTACGGACAAGCCGTAAGAGTTCCATTACTGAAGTGTTGGCAACACTTCTCATCAGACCTTGCAGCATCCTCATTACTCACTGGTCAAAGAGCAGAACCGTTCTAACTCACAAACCGTTTGGGTTGGGGTCTTAAATGCTGTCTTGGCAAAGAGCAACAAAAATAATTCGTGGTATTCTTACTTGATCTTGCCCCTGATCTCTGGGTCGTGTCCCCAGGCGAACAGTAAGCTCTGGTTGCTCTCCGTGTCGGTAGTCACCTGCTGGGAGTCATCCTCCGACTGCTGGGTGGAGGTGCCGTCCTCCGTGGTGTCCAGCTAAGGATAAGGGAACAGTTGAAAGATCTTAAAGTAATCGCGTCTGAAACAAGTGGCTGGGGCTTAGAGCAGCATGTGCCTATGGGAAGTGGATACAGCAAGGAGCGAATGGCTTCCATAGCTGCACATGCAATCTCCAGCCACAGCCCTAATATTCAGAAGCAGCAACAGTGAATTCCAACCAGATGAATTTGAGTTCAGTCCCCGCAATCCCTGCATAAATATCACACATAATTTGGAATACTTGGCAGCACAAAGACGGTACCATGTTGAGACCAATTTTTTGCAGCGTATCCTGCAAAATGATAACCTTGGCACATCAAACAGTTTTATTTTCTCTTTCAAAGGACTCGGCAGTTTGGACTTTCTTTCAATTTACAGTAACAATTTTTTTCTAAACCCAACAGATGTTTAAGTGCGCATTCTGAACACTTGCAGATTTTGACTACCATATATACAAATCTTAAGTTGTGGCAAACTACTGTTTCCAGATGTTCAAATTTTCTCAACCCCTGGCAAATTTTTCCAAAGCCTCAGTTTTGTACCTGTTCCTGCATGGCTTGGTTCAACTGGAATCGTCCCACGGGCTCCCCTCTCTCTAGCCGTCTGAGGTTGGTCATCAGCTCGGGGTCCTCGTAGTTGACCGAGGAGGAGGCCTTCCTAGCGTCGCCCGTCTCATCCACTCCGGGCAGGGGACCACTGGCCCCGTCGAAGCTCTGATACTGCTGGACCAGGTCCCGCAGGTCATCCAAACGCTGACGCACCTCTTGCAGCCGTCTGAGAGAGAGAGAGAGAGAGAGAGAGAGAGAGAAAAAAAGAACCACTTCATTCCAGAGGACATGTTGACGGGTTTAAACCATCGACAGCACCTGAACTCATCCTCCACTTACAACCCCAAACACTCTCCTCCCTATTTGTTTTGTACACACAAGGTCCGAGACGTCTGCAACGGCAGACTGTGATTTGAACTCTTGCAGGTGTGTGCATGGTTGCGAATATTACTCTGTGGGTGCACATCCAACAGTGTTGACAAATATAAGGTTGCAGTAAGAGATATTGTACTCTTGAAATTATTCTTGCAAATCAGTATTTGTGGAATTTGGATGCATAATTGATATTTTTTTGGTTAAAAAACAAAGTTTCAAGCCCCAAAATAATGTCAGCAAGGGGTTCAAACAACAAGAAGCTCAGTAAAACTTTTCTCTTTGCCGCCAAATTTCTGGAACAAAGTGCAGGTTTGAAAGGTGAACTGGATTCACGTT